AATGTTCAAACTTATGGCTGTGAAGTGATTCCTAAGCTTGTCCAAGAAATTATCCTTGACGGCAAGGAAGGAACCAAGCAGGGAAGTGGCTTCTCAACTGGTTGCTGGAATAGTCTCGGACACCTAGCCGTATATATCATGCGTCGGCTTCGCTGATTTGCGGTGCTTTATTTCATAGAACTGTAAAATCTGCTCGGCATTACAACCATAGCTTCAGATGCGCTGCTCGTTGTACCAAATGGGCGATTGATGCCCTGTATAACTCGAGCAGGAGTAATATCTACTAGAAGAGGCGAGGTGGATCAGGGTCAAAAACGAGCTAGTTTTGAGGCTTGGCGCATTATATGAGGGTGGTCAAAAAGGCGGGAGGGCGATGGACTGGGATTTGATGAGCCTTCTACCATGTACTCTGATAGGACCGAGTGTTTCTGACCCCGCACCGAAAATAATAAGATACGTTTAGTATAACAGCCTTGTGCTCGAGGTAAAGGATAGTCCATCGTAATTCTGATGGTTGAAGGGTTATCGCATTTCAGGCAAATGTCCTATTGACCACCACGACCTCAGCATGGGCATGTGTCCTGTGAACTAAAAGTGGTTATATAAGGGGGTGTATCTTACTCAGACGGAAGTGCAAACATAGCGTAAAGAAATCCGTCAACCCGTGAAAAGGAATAATAGGGAGAATCGTTGAAGCGCAACGGCCCAGTTGAAAAAGCGCTTGCCGCAAAAAATCAGTCAGTTGTGGGGCAAGATAGACTGCAACCAGATAAACCCTAAGTCTCCAGAGAAAAGCGCCCGTGAAAATAATAGGGAGAATCGTTGAAGCGCAACGGCCCAGTTGAAAAAGCGCTTGCCGCAAAAAATCAGTCAGTTGTGGGGCAAGATAGACTGCAACCAGATAAACCCTAAGTCTCCAGAGAAAAGCGGCTGCATGTTGGTCGAGTCGCAAAGATTAAAATCAAACCGGCCTGGCAAAAATGACTCAAGGTCTTGATGATCAAACAACAGGTGCACGGAAACAAAACCTAAATCCGTTCTTTATTATTTACATCCGCTTTTGGTCTGTCTTGCAACGACTGAAAAGTATCATGTTTTTATTTTCCTTGTCTTATTTGGCAAGAAAATGACGAGCTGATACTACTCAATTTGCAAAGAGTGGCGAAAATGGCAATCCACAAGAACTAGCACAATTTTTATGCTGTTATAATTGTCTGCGTTAGAAGCGGAGTTTAACTTTGTGAACGGCAAGTGACTGAGAATACGACTGGCATGTAGCGTTAGATGAATAATAGACTGGGGGGTGAAATGGTATCCTAATTCTTAGCCAGTCGAACCCGCCTTACTGGACCATCGTGAGAACGCTCTGGCTTTTAAACGAGTAACACGCTGGCCACTGTGCATACTCCACCTGGAAGTATATTGCCGCAGAAGAGCAAAAATTGAAATCAAAAAGTTACACGCAGGCACCAGCCAAGTTCGTTTACGGATGACGATAAAAAAAGACTATCCACACGGAGCTAATTTGAACGAAGCTTATTCTGCACATTATCAGTCCTTTTGATGTCGTCAGCGCATTTTCGAATTTGTCAAATTCAGTAAAAAAGATTTCCACACGGAGCCAATTTGAACGAAGCTTATTCTGCACATTATCAGTCCTTTTGATGTCGGCAGCGCATTTTTGAATTTGTCAAATTCAGTCGCCGCACATTTCCAATGACGAATTGTAATAAGAACCGAGCAACTTTACTGCATGCGGTGCCAAAAGGAGACTTCCGTTTACCCGAGGAATCACGGTAAAAGCTGCTCCTGAAAGCGGACTATGGTACGGTTGAAGACGTATGCCTTTGGTAAGCCATCCAACAAGTCGCTGAAGAAAGTAAATTAGACAAACTTGTTTCACAGCGAAAGGTTCTTCTTCATCAATATCTTTCCAGGATGCGGCGCTGAAGAAAGTAAATTAGACAAACTTGTTTCACAGCGAAAGGTTCTTCTTCATCAATATCTTTCCAGGATGCGGAAAGCAGTTAAGCTGGATGCCGATGGTCCTCACACATACTTGCGCATGAACTTTTCTCCTGGTTTCTTTCCCTGATTTTGGAAACATCAATTCTCTTGATAAAATAAATGCTACGAGGGTACTGTATTGAGAATGTTCAGGCGCATGGTCTTTTACCTCAGTCTACTGTACGTTATAACTTCTGTTTTAGATGCTCGCAATCAGGTGTATATTTGCAATTAGTGGTGATCAAATTCCACAATATTTGACCGTGTCTTTCTAAAACTGTGCTCGCCAACTGCAAGTAAGTTGTTAAAAGTGGCCTTGTCTACCCAGTTTATTTACGTCACTCCCTCAGTTCAAGCCTCAACAGCTGCTGAAGTCCGGTAACCCATTATCACAATACAAGAAATGAATGAATGATTCAGTGAGTAAGCGCGGATCATCGGCATGTAGGAAGAGAATAATGGTATACTCTGCCTTCTTTGCTTACCATGGTTTTCCCATAAATGTGTTAACTTGAAATGCGTGAAAAGAACACTCAGGAACAATATGCAACATTGACCAACCAATTTGGCTCTCTGCGCCACGCCTAAACGTACACAAGCATGACCCACTTTTGAAGAGTCTAGCAGCTTGCCTTTGGTTGCAAGGTGCCACGCAAGAAAGGCCCGAAAATCATTATTTCTGGTACGAACTCAGCTGCACTACAGACTGTGAAATTAGGGCCAAATAGGGGCAATAATAAAAGCAGGGGAATGCGCTGCAAGCTTTTAAAGGCTTTTCTGCCCTCGGACACTCCGGATCTTTGGCAGCACCTTACTTGCTAACAGCTCCTTGCCAGACAACCAAAAATTATATTCGATAAATCCCATGAACCAGTATTTCGATTTTTTGGAGTATGCCCCACATCAATGGATTAGGCAGAAAAACAGCTGCTCTGTTTCACGATAAGATGGGCTAGACATGCTTTATTTCGAGTGGCTCCATAACGAATGGAAAGAAGCATAAAAAATAATTGCGTGCACTCTATCATTAGACAAGCTTCAGAGTAATTGGAACCTTTAAGCAAATGAGGCAATAACCTACAATGATTTCGCTGAACCCCCATTGTAGTTTTGGTGTCCCATTTATCAAATTGCAACCTTTAACCACCTCATACTTACCCAAGTTGTCTGGCACCTCTTCAAAAGGATCACTGGCTTTGGTTAACTTTGCACTCATTTTTTGCCTAGAGCGCGTTATCAGTCAAGCAAGCTACCCGTCTTTATAGGTCTGTTATCAACCTAAATGATATCAGACTCCATATTCATCCCTTTTTTGCTGTTACCTCAAATATTACAGCTCCATCTTACTTTCTGGTTTACAGATCACTTGTGGAATTTTCAACTTGTGGTCAACAATAAGCTGCCGTTAGCCAAATGCTCTATATATCTTGCTCAACATATCCCATTCCTTTCCACCTAGATTTTGATACTTCATAGGGTATCCAATGCTCATTTTATCTGCTTAGAGATAACATACATGGCGCACTCTACGAAACCCCAATGCCAGCAACTTTCGAGGAAAATTAACCCGACCGTTCCAAAAGAGAGCAACTCGTCTAGCTCGACTCAACTTCTCCGTTTATCGTTTTGCCATAGTGGAATCGTATTGAGATCGTAGTTGACGCCCTCAAGCTTTCTATTTTCAGTGGGGCCATCGATCCTAGCTGGATTTTCTTTCCCGAACCTACTGTGAGTGCTCTTCATCTCGCGTGTGCATAATGGAGGAACACTCACTGCCCAATAGGTCACTGTGGGGTAATTTACGTCTTCCGCGCTCTATGGTAGAAAATTTATAAGTGCTAACTCCGGTGAGTCCGTCGACGTGTTAGGCAACCCCAGCTACCAACGCAAACCCAAGCTGGAATCGAGAACTCTGCAGAGCAGCACACTCAGGCACACTATTGGGCCGACGGAGTAAACAACACAAATAACATTTGGAAACCGAAGACTGTAAACGCCTTGTTTTCCATCCGGAAGTCGAATCCACACAAACGCCTAAGGGAGAGTTACAGTGGTCCTTAAACTGTACTTATTGTGCGAGTGATTGTAACTATTGTTGGCGATAACCACAGTGTATTCCCTCAGGTTGAGTACTGATAAGAAATGCAACAAGCCAGTGGCAGACAGTGGCCTTGAATGTGCTGCCACGCTTACAAAAATTTAGCCACCATTATCTGAAGCCTTTGGGCCAAGAGAAGACAGACAGAAACATACGATCCCTGAACTCACGGCTAAATGCACAAAATGCTAATAACTTATCATTTCCTGATTACAAGCAGTCACACCTAGCATTTAATCGCCAGTTTTTGCCATGCACCATTCGTTTTATGTAGTTGACAGCAGAGACTCGGCGACTGGTGATCCTTAATCTTACTTTCCTGTTAGGTTGACGTAGTAGACCTCAGTTAAGCTACGATTCTTACCAATTATCTGGGAAGCTGTAACTTAAGCACTTTTTACTTGTCTACTTTCACTGCTTACATTAACCCCTCTTTCTGCACAACGAAGACCCTATGTCACGATGCTTTGGTGAGCCAAAGACTGCCGCCCGTTCTCAACTAGTCCAACATGTAGCCTCCCTTCTAGCTACCTGGACGACAAAGTTCTCACCTGCCAAGAACTATGCACCTACTCTGGCCCCACTAGTACTTGGTTTCCAGATCAGCAAACGTATTCACAATTCTTGGGCCCATTTGGCTTTCTGTCACTCCCTTTTAGATTTTTTCAATTAACACCATTGTGTCTTATGCCTCCTGACACTCGCCACACGCTACTGCTTTCATTCTACTTCTTTCCGTGGCCCCTCTTCCCAAGTTTCAAACCTCGAGTGCCGTTGCCCAAACGCCCCGTATAACTGTTATTCACTCAAACTTGCTTGTCCCCGGTCTACACTCAAGCGGTCCTCCAACGAAAGGGACATTATCCATGAGCCTGCATCCGCCTGAATCTCTGTGTCAATCTCCGTCCCACTCAGAACTAGCTGCCACGGCACTGCGTATCCCTTCTCCGATCGCGTCACCCATGACGACCGTTATGGAACTGTCCATAAACCGAAGCATGTCCGTGCGACGATGGCCTGGCACTGTCATACCCAGTGAGATGGCACCCCCGCAAATATCTTCTCCAGAATCTCGACCGCAATCCTCCCATTCAAGCCTGTAGTCACAAATACGGGCAAATTTTTCATCCGGCCTCGTCTATGGGACGAGCTATTCCGTACCCGCTGAATTTTCGCTCAAACACGACTAGCCTGGTTTTTCTGCTGCAATATTGGCTTGCCTCCTCCACAAGTTCAAATCCGTATACGGTATTCGGGTCACCCTATTTATTAGCAACTCGGCCCCATCCAACCCACCCCCTGCACCTGACTCCCCCACAACACTGCAGCCAGTGAGTCTGCTCAGTTGCAGATTAAACAACATTTTTGAGACAAAGCTTGTCGTGTGCCCTCAAGTTGAATTATTTCATCTCCATCTCCACGTTTGCCCCTTGTGACTCCGGCCATTTGCCCAACCGCCCAAGGTCACTCATGGCCAGCAATGGGTTTCAGCTTTAGTTCATGTCAGCTGGCTGTCCTTGAACTTAGTCGGACCCATGCCCATTGTTCCAAACAAGTTGGGAAATAAACCTACTGTTACTATTCCATCGAATATTCCCCACTGTTCATAACATTGTCCTCTTTTTGTGTAATCCGCATCCCCACAACCCCCGGTCATGCTTCATTCTGACTGTAAACATTTGATCATGCCAGAGGGAATGCCACCGACAAGTTGGGAGCAAACATTATTATTATTATTATTAATACACTGAGGGCGTTCATTTTTTCGGAGTTTTCATGGTTACTAATCGCTTGCACTTCGAATTCTCCTCGCTCAAAATATCAGATGCAGGAAGCCAGTGCACCTTAACAGACGTAACCTTTCGATGACTTTTAAGAGGTCAGGTGTAGGGCGACCTAAGGGAGCTGGAGATTAGTAGAGAAAAACACGCAGAAAACAGCCTGTATAGAGGCGAAGTAAAAAATCAGAGTGGTCTAGAAGTACACTGCCAGCTGTGCATCAGGGACCTGGGAATCCTGCAGCAACAATGGAATCATGAAACCATCAAAATGGAGCAGCGTCTGAAAAAGAGCCTATGTCTCTCTGGTTGCAGCCATCGGAACATCAAAGGCATAAAGAGGTTTATTAGCAATCATAACCACGAAACCGTTGCCTTCGTTCGTTTCGTGGCAGTCCGCAAAGCTCACAAGGTTTGTTTTAGTGGTTCGCGCACCGGACACTTTGAGAAGAATAACGTCTAACCAAACTACACGGCTTTCCCGCTCGATGCCAAGAATAAGAGTTATAAATAAACCGGCGTACAGAAACGCCAGTGCTGGAAACCAAGAGGTGGAGTCTAAAGTGGCGCAATTCACATCTTCCATAACCTGTGACCCCTGGTTCCCTCGGCCTCGTTTTTTGTTCCAGCTTCAAGTTTCTGGTCACTTTTGGTCCACTAACCCATTCAATTTTCTCACTGAAACCGCCCGGGCTTTGCGAAGTATTACCGTTCAATCTGCTCCATTAGATCCCACCATCGATTCTAGTCTCCTGAGGACCAGTGGGTTATCTGCAGTAAGCACCGTGTATCTTTTTGTTGTAACAATTTCCTGCCATTCTATGTTTGTTATGCACAATCCTGGTTAATCCCCTGTTTGCCCAAGGCCACCTGGGTCTACAAGGTTATCACCTTCAGTTCAAAACGGTATGGCGGTCAAGATTCACAAAATGAGGCTGAATTTTCGAAAGCTGTGGCGTGTCCCTGATGGACTAAAGCAATCGGGCAATTCTGCTCGGAGCACGATTAAATTTCCAAACCTTTGGGCCCTATTAAGCATCCCGAGGTCTCAGCGATGCTGAGAAATTATTCCACCAGACATTCCCGACAGACGTATGATTGTATCAGTGGACAGTGAAATTTAGTGAGGTGTGAAAATATGAACGTACATAAAAATGGTTTTTGGTTTGAGCACACAGGCAACAAAATGAAAAATTTTGCGCAAGAAGTTTTACTCTATTCAGAAAGCTTTTACAGCTGAATGCGGCTAATGTTCTAAGTGGTAAGCTCATAAAGTAAAGTGGGAAATCCGCCTTAACCCCAACAGTATGCTTACTTAATCCCGATATTTATCAGGGGTGGTTTCGATAACACATTCATCTCAATTTTTATCCAATTCTTAGTTAGAGATGCTGCAATTTTCTCTACACTCTAGGCCGTACATGAAATCTCTGAAGTCTCTGGTAACCCCCTACATTTACCATCGATGCTTATTGGCAATTCTAAAAGCAATTTTGTGGCAGTTACTAAAATCCCAAGCCATTCAGCACGACATCCCAAGTTACCATAACTCCCCTTCCCAGATTTTTGTAACCCGTAGGATAAGGGCAGAACAATCGCACCGACTGAAGCACATCCTGAATGTATAGAAGAAACGTTTAACACCACAAAGCCCGGTGGGGCACCGCCGGTGTAGTGGTCTGTCTACACAATAAGTTAACTTACCAGGAGTGTGTGGCAAAGGAATGAAAATAATAACGCTAGATTGAGTATACAATAACAAAGAGGTCAGATGGAACAGGTTCACTAATAATTGTTCCCTTTAAAATAGTTCGTCGCTGGCCCTGGTCAGCGAATGAACAATAATACAATCATGGTCGATCAGGAGTCTTCTTATGAGCAGTTTACAGTCTAATAGATTCCGAAGATAGGCTGAAATACTTCGATAACATGGTTGGCACATGAGAGTCGCGAACGACTGCCGTAAGCGCGGACGAAATCAGATAGAGAGTCAAAGCACGTGACCACGTTTGTATTGCGTGAATTTGTACAAGTGCGCGTTTTTGCAGTTTTTGTATTCAAACCAAAAACGGTTATGCAGTTGACAAAATACGTGACACTATGATGGAAGCAAAGTAAAGGCACCAAACATCAATCTGGTGACTATTCACCGCGAAGGTGAAAGCCAAACAGGAGTTTTGTGGTACGAAGAAGCGTGTTGGCTCCAGTCGTCTATGGGATGAGCTTAATCACGTTGCTCTTGTGGGATACCTTGCCCAGTGCCTTGCCATAGTCAATGAATTTCTCACTGCCATCGAATTTGATGGTTGTAGCAGTAATCCACCGTCCCGCTCCAGAAAAAAGCTTTGTCTTATTTGAAGGACTCCGGCAGACTGAAACAACATGAAGCAAGTCTACTGGCACAAACGCCAGGCCTACTGAGTGGAAGATTTTTGACACATTTTTTTTTGCAACGAGCATAAAGATCAAACCAACAACCGCACAGAATCATTCAGATAAGAAATCACTACTTACGAAATAAATGGACTACACCCCGCTAAGGACTAAGCGATAATGCCAACCAGTCATCTTTGCACCCAAGAAGACGTAAATACTTGGTCACCCCAACCTTGGCCGATAGACAAAAAACAAGTCGGATCAATTGAAGAAACCTGTCAGAACAGTCTTTGGCTCCGTACTGGTCAAGGGCAGCCCCCTATTAAATTTTGGACATGCTTGAATAAACACTCACATTGTAATGTAGGCCAAAAACTGGCGGGATGCTAACTGACATCGACGAGTTTATCAGCTGTTCTAGTGTGCAGAACTGTTTAAAATTGACGAGCTGAGGCTACCGGTAGCAGTAACCTATTCGCTAGGAAGTGGATGGCGTGACTTCCAATGCACTATCGTCCTCTGAACCTGGTCCTACGGTCATCATATGAACGGAAAATTGCCCCACTTTGGATACTAGAACAAGGTGGACTGATGTCTGACCCCAAAGAACTACCGATCTTGGTCACGTAGCTATGGATACAAAACCTTTCTGATAAAACAGACCTACGCATGCTTCATTTTAAGGCATTCTGAAAAATGTCATTTGGTTGCAAGAACTGGAAATGAAAGTTAAGGCCAGTGACTTCATTGGCCTTTCCAGGCAATGAAACTGACAAGCCTTCGGGATTTCCACAAACGTTACGTCCAAAATATGGGTCACGTACGCTGTTGTCCAAATGTCAGTAAACAAGTGTTTGGCTGCGTAACGGGGAATCCCGTCGAAGAATTTGTTCACCACCAGAAGTTGTGTTGACTGGACGGTGAGTCGTGCAGCCTGAAACGTCAATTGCCGGAAAGTATGCTGTTTTTTGTGCCTAGTTAAGAGTGGCGGAGGTGGAGAAGTCGCCGTAGGGGTATAAAAGTGATTACGAAAAGTCTGGGTGTTGTGGATGCAACTTACAGGATGAGGCTGCATGATCCCGTATGTGTTTGGTTGGATACGCTGCAATGTATGACCGCTAATCAATATAAGTGGCGTTCCTTTAGTTAGTTTCCATCCAGATTGTCGAAATGAGTGTCTGAAGGTCTGAACATCCTGGATTGTTTGTGGTAGGATGGCACCCAGTCCACTTTCCATCCGCTTTGGCACTCCCTTCCACAATAAGGCATTCAAATAGATTACGGGTGTACGGCGGCAAAGCATCGATGTTGAAAATTGATGCTATGCTGTCAATGACGAGGATGATGAAGTCATACTTTCCAACTTTATCAGAATCGTTAAAAACTGGCACAGGATACACTGAGCTCTAAAGTCTTGGATCTGTAACATCCGAAAATGACAGGATTGAAGGAGAAAATTTGGGAGTGACAATGTACATTATGGTCGGCCGGCTGAAAATTAAACCAGGGGTATCTATAAATCATAATGTAAGGAAACCGGCTTCGCCATGGGAGGCAACATTAGATTAACTCAACCGTACGACCAGTGATATAGAGTGTTTCAAGTTTGGAAGACGCCGTATTCTGACACCCACCAACGAAAACCTGACTAGGCGTGTCCCGTGAGGTTGTTGCTATTCAAATATTCAGCAATAAGTTGGAGGCTGAATACGCCTACACATGTACCAGATCGTACATTCGGTTCATCGGAGCCGACGATTTCGTTTGCCTTCGAGTTGAGCAAATGCTGCTGGGCTGATTTCAGTGTCGTTCACTCGACTGTGTTGCAATCCTGACACGAGAGCCTAGATCGCTTACCGCAAAGGCTCTGCAGGCTATACCGGTCGAACATATATTCCGTAACATCGAACAGTACGGATAACAGCCAAACCAGTTGTGTCAAT